TTAATATTAACACCTATTTGTGTAATATATTTATTATAAAGCTAATTTGATATCCGGAGCCTTTTTTTATATTTCTTGTCAAGTTTTATTCATAAACTTTCGCACAAATTAAACACACTAAACATATTGAGTGGGCAAGCATTCAAACAAAATTTTAATAATGCTGACATTATAATAATAAAATTATTTGTACATAGAACAGTATTATATTTATTATGGTGATTTTTGAAATTGAAACAATGATGTAATTTAGACGTAGATATTATATCAATATTATAGTTAATAAAAATTGAACGAATTCAAAAATATATTTAATTTAGACGTCAATATTATAGTAAATAAAAATTAAGCAAATTCAAAAATATTTAATTTATGATGTAGATATTATATTTTTTATATACCGATCATGCCGAAAAATTTAGCAGCCAATTTTTTCAATTAATCGTATTTTTTTTTAATAAACCGACAATTGTAGCTTAACAAAATTCAAACTCCGATTCGGCAGAGTTTGAATTTTATCCAATCTCGTGGAAACACGAAAGACAAAGGTCACGTGACCACGACACTTCGGCGGACTTTAAAAATCTCTGATTAACGGAGTTACTTATGATGCACTAATTTCTATCACCAATTGAAAAAAGTAACGGGCCCTATGAAATACCCTGCTAATGCAGGGGTATTTCATGGGGCCCGTTACTTTTTTCAATTAGTGACAGAGATTAGCGTATTATAAGTATAAAGATTTATTGCAGTTTGCAAAAAAAAATGTGAAATTTGCAGATCAAAAAAAAAAAGAAATCGATGATTTCTGATTTCTGATTGCCGATTTTTTTAATATTACTTCTGATAACATATGTATGTCAACTAATATTATACCATATAATATTTATTTAGCATACATTTTTTAAAAAAAATTCATTTTTAATGACTAAAATTATTATTCCGGGACATGCTTTGAATGCACAAATGTCTTTTTTATCAACTTATAAAATTTATTGTAATAAAAATATAAGTTATACTAAAGTTCCAATAATCCTTATAAAATTGAATTTAGTGCAGCTTTAAATTTTCTTCTTGCTTATCATGCAATAGTAGAATTTACCGGGCTAGAAAAGAAGCAAAATTTAATATTACACAATCAGTTTTTTACAACATGAAGAGTATGTAAAATATATTCCTTCAAAAGATGTTAAATCAAAATATATTACAAAATTATGAATCTACAACTTTTATTTTTGCAAAAAAATATTAAAAAAATCAGCAATCAGAATCAGAAAACATCAATTACTTTTTTTTTTTTGTCAGCAAATTTCATTTTTTTTTTTGCAAACCGCAATAATCTACACTTAATTCATTGATAATTACAGCTGTTCTTATAAATTATGAGACAAATTGAAATTTCTCGTTTCCTGAAATCTCTTTGGTTTCGTCCTATAAATCTTCTAACTCCGAAAAATACATCGCTATCTCCGGATCGAAGTTCCAAAGACAATGACGTGATTTCGAAGAATTAGGTGATTTTTAGGACAAAGCCGAAGAGTTTTTGGGAAACGACAAATTTTTAGTTTGTTCCAAAATATGTGAGAACAGCTGTAATTCACTAACAAGTTTAATTCAGAATTATATAATTAAACACTTGTCTTAAGTTTAGATTGGTGTTAGTGTTTAAAATTGTTATTTCCGATTAATAAACTATTATAAACAAGAGGAGTAAATTATACTTCAAGTCTTCAATTGTATAATTTATTTTTACTGGATTTGGATTTGGCGGGAGTTTTTTTAAAAAAAAAAAATTAGTAAGACCAGTTGCAACTGATCGTACTAGTCCTGTGCAAGGTCACACATTGCACAGCTACTCTAGTATTTTTATTACCCGAACATGTTCATGAACTCCAAACCGAACTCAGACTAAACAAATATTTCAAGTTCAAGTTCGGTTTGGGTTCATAAATTTTAAGTTCGGTTCAGGTTCGAGTTCGAAGATCTACAAAATTTAAAGTTTGGGTTCGGGTTCAACTGAACTCGAACCAAACCCGAACCGAATCGAACCCAATTTTGAAACACTAGTGCTCTGTAGCCACAATTACCATCTCTGTCTACATTGATTACCTTTTTTATATACTCATATATATAAATAGGTATTTGATTATAATATAAAAGTTGTTATAGTTGGTATAAATTTTGTAAATTCTTTATAAGCTTGGGTGCATTTTTTTTTTTTTTTTAGCAGCTTTATCTAAGTAGAAGATCATGCTTAGTAGAAGCTAGTTGGTCTCTATTTTCAATACATAATGGTGCTTTTTGAGTTACAACTAGTGCTTGAATCCAGATATAAAACCGGATATCCGGATAGACATCCTGTTTTAATTCTCTTAATCCGGATGTATAAACGGATATTGGTTGGTTATCCGGTTTCTAATCTAGATTATATCCGGATTTTAATATTAAATGATCTATAAATAAAATATTATCCTGTTAAGGGTTATTTCACGTTGCCTCAATGCATTTGCATCATTTGGCACGATTTCTAATGCTTTGTAAACGTTTCACTTTTGTCCATTTTACAATAAATTTCACCGCATAGCACGGATTAGAAGGAACTTTTTTTTTATTACTTGGGTTTCGATTGAAGTATGGAAGACTTAGTTCAAGTCATTAGAGCTTAAACTTAATTCTTGTATGAAAATCAAGAATTCCCAGGCAAACATGAAGTTAAGTATTCTTCGTTTTTCTTATTTTTATTTTTATTGTTTTATTTTTTTTATTTTATACTATGACTTTAATTTGGGTTTCAAATAACGATACTGATATTGTTGGATTACAAGTTAATCACTAAATTTAACTATATAGGAGTATTTTCGATTATTAATAATATTTTTACCCTTTTGCTTGCTCAGGGTCAGGGTTTAATATGATAACAAGGAAAAATTATTATTACAAAAATTTATTTGGTGTAGCTTTACCTAATATGTTCGAACTCGAATAGAGTAGAGCAGTTATTTAGACATCAAAAGGTATCGTATTATAGCTTCATGTTATTAGTATACATTTTAAATGACAAATTCATTATATATTTACTAGATAAGACAATGTTCGTTATATATTTATTATGTTTACTAGATCTAACAGCTAATAAATATACAGTATACTGTATTTTTTCGTATCCACAAAATTTGATATTATTCTAAGTTATATATATAAAATAATACTAATAAGATATAATGGTAATATCGTAATGTGGAGCTTTACTAAAAATATATAATATAATATTGTTTCAGAAAAATAGTCGGGATAGTGCTTGGTGCCCCTCACAATGAATATTATTTCAACTGTGACTCAAATATAGTACTCAGAATACCGATATTTTGTTTAAGAAAAAGAATTCTTTCAAATAAGTCGGTGTTAATTGATGTACATTTTGCTGTCATTAAATTACCCGCACTCAAAAATAAGCGTTCACTGGGGGTTGATGTAGAAGGTATTTTCTTGCCAAATTGGCAAGGATCGAAAATTTTTCTTGACCATCTTTTCACCAATTAAGTAGATTAGTTGTAATTGACATTTGATCTACTTTAAGATATTCGTCTACTTCATTTTTATCTGATGTTGATGTTATATCTAACCCAAACATTATTGAAAAAAGGCTCATTTGATTATCATTTTGCTCTACATTCACCAAGTTAGTAATACTTTTATTTCTAATGCTAAGTAAATCATATTTTTCTCGCAAAAGATCAATAGCCTTATTATGTTCCCAACTATCTAATTTTTTCATTGACTTACAACGTGGATCAAGTAATATTGCAATTAAAAAACAATCAAGAAGTGCATCCCAATAATAGTCTAATACTTTATATAAACTCTCCTTTACTTTTTCTACTAGGTTATCCATATTTTGAGGTTGACTAAGTTTAAACTTACCTCCATTAGCCGTAATAATTCTTCATCTACATCGACTCTATTCTCTTCCTCCTCATTAAAAATAGTTAACATATTTGTTAAATCAAGCTCTTCATTACTTATACTCATCGACAATGGTGTACAATTTCTAGTAAGGGTGGTAATTGCTGGCCACATAAAACTAAGTGTAGTATAATTACTACCTCCTAGCAATTGTGTAATCTCAGCAAAAGGGGCCAAAATTATAGTTAATTCCTCAAGAACTTTTCATTCTTCTTCTGTAATCATTAAGGATTTTAAGCGAATTGCATTTTTACGAATAATATAATCATTATCTGCACTCATAGTTGCTTCCATTAATTTAATAGCACGCTTAATTTGAAGAAGCCGTTTCCATGCGATATATGAAGAATTCCACCAAGTTGAAGTATCAGATATTGTACGATAAAACTCTTGTTCATTGTTATCAATATTTTCTTTTGAAATTTTTAACAATTCCTGTGCTTTTCGTAATTGCTTATTTTGTTTAGACGTACTCAAAAAGTTAATCAATCTTTTTGCACGTTTTATTAAAACTTCTGCAGGTTTTAACCCTTTACCAATAGCAAGCTGAAGCATATGGGCCATACAAGAAACCCGATCTACACCTATTAAATTAATAGCCTTAATCATATTAGCAGCATTGTCAGTGGTAATCGAAATTACCTTTTCAGAAAGCCCCCAGTTATTAATTATTTCCTCTAATTCAGCTTTAATGTTTACAGCATCATGAGGATATGGGGCATATTTAATTGCAAGTATAACTTCTTTTAATTCATAATTAGAGTTAATAAAATGATATGTAACACCTATATATCCGCTTTTAGAACATGCAGTCTATAAATCGCATGTTAATCCGCATGTTTTTATTTCTGTTGCTAAAAGTATTTTAAGATTTTTTATTGAATAATTATAACTTTGATGAATTAGCGCCTTTACATATTTATCAGATAGAAGTTCGTAATATGGATTTAAGGTATGAATAAGTTTAATAAAACTTTCATTTTTCAAAACATTAAGAGGTTGCAAATCTGTAAC